ACATTGTTATATTAAAGTATATATATATATATATGTATATATGTACATATTATACATATTTTTACTCTATTGTTTTTTTTCTTTATTAATAAAGTATTTTTTCGTACCGTATCTTACCTTATACTTATAGGTACGGGCAGTTCCTTACATGCACACAAATATTAAGTTAAAAGGTGAATGAAAAAGAGTCACATGAACCAGCACAGCACAGATTATAAGTCTCCTTTCCTTCATCAGTATTGCTCCCTAAGAGAGGTCAACAATGATTCCTCACAGGACAGATCACATCCTCACACCCGATGCTCCTCCTCCTGCTAGAAAATCACATTCTTGGTGTAACTTGGGGTTCATTTTGTTTGTTACTCTTCAGCACAATTACCACATAAAATGCTTTTTGTAGTGGGACCAGCAGCATCTGTCAGGAACTGAGAGCAGCATCAGCTGGTTGCAGCTACAGCTACACATGAGCCGAGCACGCACTGCTCTCTGCTCAACCGTGGCTTTAACTTCAGAAAATAATCCGTTATCTCTGTAGGTTAATAGAGTGAAGACAATTCAGATCCGTTTGCATTTACTACTGCTTTATGTGCCACACAGACATATCCTCAACTGTTTTCAGTTTTCAGTTTGTGAATCGTGGAAGTTGTGAATTGATTTTTGATAACATAGAACACTGAAGCTAATGTCTTCAGTGTAAATGGGTGTAAATGGGTTTCAGTAATGTAAAGGAAATGAGATTAGCAGTAAAAGGGTTAAAGAGTGATAAGATGCTGCTATAATCCTTTAAATAACTGGACAATCAGTGGTACACGGTGAGCGTAGCATCACTTTCATGATGTTATGCCAGAAAAGTGGAAGTGTTTCAATCAGTGCTGCACATTCCTGAATCATTCTGTGTCTTTAAAAGCAGATTAGTGCTTAGTGGAGCACAGACGGATGCCGTTTGCTGTAGTGTACACGTATTGATCCGATTGTTGACCATGAGCTAATACTTGTGTCTCTGTTTTGCCGTTGGCTGCAGTCGATGCAGTCTTCCAGAGGCTCTCCCTTCTCTGTGGCTGAGAAACAACCAGCATCAGCAGCATGTCCCGCGTCTCCTCCACCGCCAAGCGCTACACCAGCCCCTCCTCCTACACCAGCCCCTCCTCCTACACCAGCCCCTCCTCCTACACCAGCCCCTCCTCCTACACCAGCCCCTACAGCTCCTACAGCTCCTCCCTGACGCCGGGCCTCAGCTCCTACAGCGAGCGAGACCGGCTGTCCTCCTACAGGTCGCCCACCTCCACCTCCTCCATCACCTCCTCCTCAGGTTACTCCTCCTCCAGCTATCTGAGCAGCTCCGCCGCCCGCAGCCGCAACTACAGCACCTCCTCCTCAGACCCAGACCGAGGTCGGACCGTCCCGCGCACCGACATCCTCGGAAGCAGCAGCAGCCGGCGGAGCGAGAGCCTCAGCAGAACCCCCGTCAGGAGCTATGGAGGCTCGGGGCTGAGCGGTGGGTCGGCCTACACCGGCTACAGTTCCTACTCTCCCTCTTCCTCGGCCCAGTCCAGCTACCTCTCCTCCTCCTCCTCATCCTCATCGGTGGCCTCCAGCATCGCGCTCAGCCGACGGAAATCCGTGTCCCAGAGTGACTTGACCAGGGACCTGGCCTCCCTGGGCCTCAGCGATGCCTCCTCTTCTTCCACCAGTGCCCTGCGGAGCTACCGCAGTCGGGCCACCGACGTGGCCAACTCCTACGGCACCGGATCCCGCCCGGGCTACTCGGGCCTGCCGCGGAGCTCCACCCAGGAGGCCTTCAGCAGCAGCAGCAGAGGGATCAGCTCTTCGTCGTGGGAGCCGAGCAGTAACAGGCTGTCCGACTCCTCCACCAGGGACTCCACGGTAAGACCACGTCCTCTGATCTTACACATGCTTATTGGGGGATTCATGTCCAGGTGTTTCTTCATTTCTTTAGTTTCACACACACAGAGAAGCCCAACAATGCTTTGAGGCTTCTGAGAGTTCTGGCTTTTACCAGACGAGGGCTCTATTGTTCAAATTAATTTGGTTTGTTTCACAATAATATGCCAGACATTTCGCTCTCATAAAAATGACTCATACGTCAAGACATCTCACAAGTTGCCTTATTTTTCTCTTGATATCTTATTCTAACCGGAGGTCATTATTCCAGTAAGTAGCTCAATGGTTATGTGACAAACCAGCATGGACACCTGACCCTCTGTCTGACCCATCAGTCAGCTATAGCTTGCACCTCTCAGATGAGCCGGGTCTGCAGGCCACCGTCCTCATCTCTAAACTCAGTAAGAATGACCCAAGCGTCCACGTCAGAAAGCACAACTGACCCACTTCCTCCTCAGGATTAGTCCAGATAAGCGCTTACATGAGTGGAAGAGGAGGAGGAGGAGGAGGAGGAGGAGGAGGAGGAGGAGGAGGAGGAGAGAGTGGGTGGTAGGAAGGAGGAAGAGTGGAAAAGAGAATTAGTGGAAAGTGCTTTTCAGTGGATGTCAGGTAGTGAGAACCAAGAACAAACATCTTTGGATTCACTTTACTATTAAAGGGGCATAAAAAAGAATTTGCACAAGTTGTTAATCAGATATGCACTTGTTCACATTCCTTCAACAGTTCTATTTCTGTGAATGTTTTGGTCACTCCAGTTATTGGAAGGCTCGTTCTCGTAAACAGGAACATGATTGGCTAAGTCATATAGAGAGGTGAAGTCCGGCCTCTTCCGATGTCCCCCATGGGACCTTATTTCAGAAGAAATGTGTGCAGAAGTCAACTGTGTAAGACATTGAACTGTGCCATGAATTAAACATATGATGTTTCTCAATTTAAAAGATAATCTTGCACGTTAAGAAAGTCTCAGTGTGTCATAGATTTGTCATAGTATCTTTTACTTTAGTGTGAAACTGCATCAGTGAGCTACATCTCTCGTCTCGCACTATGTACACCAAGCTTGGCGTTATATTCCAAATATAACGTTATCTTACGTCCTAGCTAGCTAACTTAGCTATGTTCCAAATATAACGTTATCTTACCTGCTAGCTAGCTAACTTAGCTATGTTCCAAATGTAACGTTATCTTACCTTCTAGCTAGCTAACTTAGCTATATTCCAAATATAACGTTATCTTACCTGCTAGCTAGCTAACTTAGCTATGTTCCAAATGTAACGTTATCTTACCTTCTAGCTAGCTAACTTAGCTATGTTCCAAATGTAACGTTATCTTACCTGCTAGCTAGCTAGCTGTCTTTATAGTTACGTATATTCACAGCCGTATACTTCAACAGTTTAACTACAAAAATGTAACTTTCTTGATGTGTAAAAGTATCTTTTAAATTGACAAACATGATATGTGTAATTCATGGCACAATTCAAATGGGATTAAATATATATTTGTCCCTCGCCGTTGACCATCATTCATATTTTTTCCAGGATTAGGAATACAGGACTGTCCTGCACACATCAGCCTTAAATCAATGTTGTAACGTTGGCATAGTAGATTTATTTTTTTGCGATTTATATGCTTTTCATAAAGAAAAGGTCTATAAAACATTGAAACAACATGAAAGTTGTGATCATTTTTGATCCTTTATTTATGAAGGACTAATTCTCAATGTTATGGTTCATCAGTGTGGATGCTCTCATTGTTAAAGGCGTGAACATTTGCTGATTGTAAATTAAATATCTTTGAGTTTTGGACTGTTGAAACATGAAACATTTAATTATTTTCTGACATTATAAAGACTTAACAGCTAATCAGTAAATAGAGCAAATAATCAGATTGATAATGAAATGACTTAGTTGCAGCACTAATCAACCACATTAATGACTTACCGTTAAAAATAGAACTCAGAGTCGATTCAGCGCCTTTATTCTCACACGATAACAACAAAAGCCAAACGATCTGAATGTATTCTTATTCTGGCCGACGTCTGCTCAGATTAACGTGACCTTCACATCACAAACTCGTCAAAGATGAAGAAGTCTTTATTAATAAGAGGCTACGAAGATTTAAACCCTGGATAAAACAAGTCTTTGTAAAAAGATGCTGATTTGACTCCTAACAATAACTCATGTGTCAATATCAGCTCAGGTGATATCAGCTCATGATGCAGGTTCCTGCAGTGGAATTGACAAGCTTGAACTTGACTTTTATACCCATTTAACCCCACCAAGCAATCAACACCTCTCCATCACGCAGCGACTGAGGAGTCACCAGCTGGAACGATAATGAACCCTAAGGTACATTTAATCACCCATAAAGATAAAAGACCCCGTCTGCAGAAAACCAGCCCCATAGAGGGTCCTTCTCACGGGTTAAGACCTTATTGTGTCTCAGATGTTGCAATAATGAAATGTAGAATCTAAATAATATGATGTACACAGTCCAATGTATGGTTGAAAGCCTCTACTCCTCGTTCTCCTTCCAGGGTTTAACTCAACATCTTTGGTTTGATTGAAGGTCGAGTTGCCAAATATGTTCGATAAACTTTCTCTAGTTTCCTTCCGTTCTTCTCACTTTGTCCCAATCTAAAACGTACAATGTGACCTCATAATTTAAAGTGTGTTAGTATCCAGTGGAGTCCTACAGAATCACAGTTATAGTTTGATTTTAGCTCCCTCTCAGAAGCTTACAACACAAAAATACAGCAGAAACATAGCAGCTGCTGGTGCCTCATGGTGCTGTTCATCGAGTTCATCGTGTGTTTATGATGAAGCCAAGCTGGTTAACATGACTACTGCTGTTGTTTTTCTCCTGTTTCTCATTCGTGATGTTCAAATCAGACCAGGACACGAAAACAACAACATATTTCTACTGCTTCTCTAAACAGTAAATTTAGATTTGCAGTGTTGGTGCATGCTGTGCTCGTCTTCATGCGTTTCTTAATATTTGTCAGATCTGGTTTTAAAATGAGGTACAGCTGGTATTAGCGGGTTAGCTCAAAGATGCTACACTCTGACAAACTCTTTACAAAGGCTCCAATCTTTCATATAATAATAATAATACATTTGTATAGCGCTTTAACAGGCACTCAAAGAGACTTTACATGGTGAAAACAGAAACAATAGAAGTAGTTACAATACAAACTAAATAGATGACATAACGGCATAAGGACCAGCACAAACACATGCGTAACTAACTTCACAGGTTAAAGGCAGGTTTGAATATAACTTGTGGGTTAGTTTTTGAGTCGACTAGCTAACAATGCTAACGTTAGCGTTGGGATCGCCTACAATTCAAAACTACTCTTTAACCAACCAAGCGTAAAAGAAAATCAGAGTTTATAACACCTCGGGTTTTATTTCGGGCCATTCTCTCTATCAGTTGTGACAACGCTGCACTCAACAAACTCACTGTGGATCTGTGGAACAGCAGCAGTCAGGTGGTGAACAAAACTCTCAGCTTACTCACAGGTCTGTGGAAGAGATAAGAGTTTTATTCACCAAACTTTACACATTTACACAGACTTCCAGTAGTTTTACGTTCAGTAACAAAGTCACACACTTAAATAAATAAACTGATATGAAACATTCTTCTACACACAGCTGCTGACTCAGTGCAGCCCTGTTTATTACTGCTTTAGTCTCTTATGAACCAGAGACAGGTCCTGGTGTCAGCTCTCTGTGAAGACAATAGAGACCTTTAGCTCACTCTTTTGAGGACTTTCTAGACTTTCTGTTGAGTCAACAATATGTTTAGACTGTGCGGCTGACGGCTTACAGTTTGATTAAAAAAACGAAACAACAAAACGACAGGGAGCTTTACTTTGTTCTTTGGCAGCTCAGTTCTTTAAGCTGCTGTTATGAGTTGGCTTGATGTGGTTTGTGGGTCAGTGTGTGACTCGTTTATCAGAGCAGCTATTTTAACATCACACCGAGGCTGTCATCAAAAGGACCTAGGATACTGATACTGGGATCAAAAGAAGGCGTTACATTCTCTCTACTGTGAGTACTGTAGCAGCCCAGATGTCCTCTTCCCTCCGTTCTTCTAGAGGTCCTAAACACTTCTATGCCCAATAGGGAGTCTGCATTACCCACAATTCATAGCAACATTAAACACAGGGGTTACCGGTGGAAGCAAACAAGTTAATGGATTATTATTCAGCGTGAGACTCACATCACAATCAGACAGAACTCAAACACATAAACACAATAAAACCCTCACCAGTAAGTTCATCACAACATGTGACCAACAAGCAGAACATCAGTCTGTGATGTGATGATCCTGTTCTTCTGATCAAACTCTGTATGACATCACTACCGTGTGACATCACTAACCTATGACATCACTGAGAACATTGTTGAGCTGAGAATGGATTTTAGATATTTTAGAACTTCTTGTGTTGCTGCTCAAGAAAGAATATTTGTTTACAAACAAGAATAATAAAGTTGATTATTTTCTTAATTATTCTCTTATACTTTTACAATATAATCAAAAAGAACCAATAAGTAGTATTGATAAGAGTACTAGTATTAATAACATCCTAACAATCTCCACCAGCTCCACAGGCTCATCAGCTGTTTGGCACTTTTGCCAAAGGAGCAGTTTTTTAAATCCAGGGGAATGATTGTGCAGCACACTTCAGCCTCAGGTCTGATGTCCAGAGGTAGAGAGTCTCTCTCCCTCTCCCTCTTTAAAACCCTCCCACATACATGTCATCAGAGTCAGCAGGGTAGGGAACGCTATGCACCTTCAGGTCTGACTCAAGCCCTTCAGAGGAACATGTTGGGTTTAAATTTAAACCCTGGAGTCTAATGGGCCTAATCTATCTGAGGGACTAGAGCAGATAACCTCCTGGATATCATCGCTCTGCTTTACACCAGACTGCTGCACATCAGCTATCACAATACAAACATTGACCTTTTGTTCCGTCTCTCACGTTGAAGTTTTCCACCTCAAGGATTTACACGCACACACACACACACAGTTATGAAGGAATGTGCTCGCTGGTTATTTGTTGTGTACAAACTCTTGAGTTTGGATCATGAGATTACTGCTGAGGACGTGTTGTACTTCTCTCACTTCTCTACCCTGTAAACCAGGAATTAACGTTGCACCGACATGATCAGTAGTTTATTTATTTATATATATATACGTATATATATATATATATATATATAGATGTGAAAACAAAGGATCAGTCGGGAGTCTTTGGCTGTGTCTGAAATTCATGTTTTTTGTCAGAATTTTGTGCACAGTTTCATTATTTTGTTTTTATACAATGGAAGAAAAATGCAATACAGCATTTCTTTCCCCACAAATGTCGCCACAGACGCCCAGTTTGTAGTACTGCTGATATATAGATATTGCAATACTTTCATCGGTCATCAATCACAACAGAGAGGTGACGTACTGTAGTCAACAAGGAAAGAGAAATCAT